TTGGACACGACCCTTGACTGTTATTGTTAGCGCCCAAGGTCAAAGTTCAAGGAACCATAGAGTAACATATTAGATGAAAGGGCATGAAGAGAGCTGCACAACACACCTTTTATTTTTTCAATACAATGCCATGATTTTTGCAAAATCGCACACTGTACGAATCTAACTTAAAATGTTACGTTTTTACAGCTTTTGGGACCAATTCAGCTCCAGTCATATGAGTAAAGATCATAAAATTCACCGTGTTAGTATGTAAAGCTTCATAGCTCAAAGGTTAGGAATTAGGAAAAAGCTCTAGTTTCTGAACCTTGACACCAAATACGGCAAGTTTTATTATTTTCCATTACATCTTTACATCAACTGCTTTTCCTCATGGATGATATGCACCTCTCACCTCACCTTTAGGGGATGTGCATGATAAATAGCTCAATAGATTTCAACTGGATCTGCCTTTTTTTTGCTCCCATGTGCACATTTAAGATGAGTCAATATAGATTGTTGACAGCAGTACAGTAAGATGGACTTCAGCATGATTGCTCAGAGCAGAGTGTCCCCCATCTTAAAAAAAAATGTACCCACTATGTCTGAATAAAGGTGGAGCTGACACTAAAGTGAAGCGTGGTGTTTTTTCCTCTTTTTTTTGACTCTAAATAAGTCAGCAGCAGCAGCTTGACACTTGCCTGCTTTCATGTTTCCCTTATTTCAAATTCTTTTGTTAAAAAAGGAAACGGTAATAAATCTGAAATTCGAAAATAAGCTGTCACAGAAGAAAAAGCAAGATATCAAATTACCGGGAAGCTGAAGGAAAATGCTAATTTTACAAAAGCCACAAACTGCATTGTCCCAGCAAAATGTGTCCATGTAGAAGCAGCACTGCGAGTACAGCACTGACTGATGCAAAAGGTGCGGTTGGAGGTGATCACTGACCTCTGATGGAAACCTTTGGGTGTTCTTTCTTTGTGCACTCCGGATGGGTCAGGGGGTCCAACGAGGATGGGGTCGGGGTCGTTGGGACAGCGGAGTTCTGCGTGAAAACAGCCGGGAGGAGAAGGAGTAGGAAGAGGCCAGCCATAGACGAGGGGGCGGAGTCCTGTGAGGACGCAGTCATGGTGATGACCTCTCCTCTAGCTGTCGAGCTGGGCCTCCGGGATACAGCTGGAGAAGAGAAGAAATGACTTCAGCACCTCAATGCAACATTTCTACACCTGGCTTCAAAGAAACGAAGCTCTCTCTCTGAGTCACTTCAAAATCTTTTTTTTCCTCGCAGACTTTCTATTCCTGAGGGCGTTCCTGAATGAAGCACCGGAAAACCGAAAGAGACTGAAAAAAAGGTGCAAAGGAAAAACATTTTGATAGAAAGGACATCATTGTGGGCTGAAAAAAAGAACCAGACAAATAGAGGGTGGCTGGAAAGATGAGCTAGAAAGCTGAGTGAAGCAGGGAAATAAATGAATAGAGTTAGAGGTTAGAAAGACTCAGAGCGGGGAAATCTAGCTTCTTAAACAGGCACCCCACCTCTGACCCTTGAGATAATTATTTAAAATGTGCAATTAAACCTCTAAAGTTGATTAAAACAGGAAAATTGAACCCAATTGTGGACTGTTCAATGAGGCAGAAGGTTCCAGCAGTTAGCGAAGCAGTAACGAGTTCACTTAAAATCTGCGACTTTCAGATGCTTCAGTGCTGGATTTAAAAAAAAGAAGAAAGAAAATGTTTGCACAGCTTTGATCCTTGCATACACCTGACATCCTGGCATGTTTACTGCACATGTGATGCATTTCAGCGCATTACTGGATCCTCTCGCTTCTTCTGAATTACGTCTTATGCAAACAGACTTTGGCAGACTTACACGCGGATGTTTCCAAATGCGCGCACGCAGAGACACTCCTGCTTCCCCGGTAAATGTAATCTCTCCCAGTTATAACATATGAGTCTACAGTGCGGCGCTGAAACCAGCAGTTCATCATCTCCCAACCCCGCACTCCTCACGATGTTAGCTTAGCGGAGTGTAATGTTATTAAAGTAGATTAAAAACTGAGAGCATCAACTTTCTGCAGCACTTTGGCTTGGTTACATATCTCTGTAGTGTTTTCCTCACTAATGCTTCAATCAATAACAAATTATTAGCTCGGTTGAGTTGCAAATCAACCATATTGCCCTGCAATCAATTATCCCTCTCACTACAGCCGGTAACTAATTAGGCAAATGCAAATAGAGCCCATGTTTGTCATTACAATACAGTGGAGTCGACCGGCCTCTCGCTACTGCCAACTAAAATAATGTTGATGAAACAGGTGGAAACATTTAGTGCAGTCTGCAGCAGACTAGATTCAGTGGAGCTGGATATTTCAAGCTTTAGGGCTGCTTGTTTCGACTACATCACGAAGCAAAAGGGAAAAAAAACAACCTTTTGATCATTTGTCCATATTTTTATTTTATGATTTTATAATGTTTGTCCTCGAGTCTGAAACATAAAAACAATCATGACTCAAAAAAATGACCGAATCCTCTTTATGGGGTGCATGCGGGCCACTCGAGCTGGCAGCTGTCGGGGTTTTTGTTTCGTTGAGAGGAGGCATGAATATTTGAGTGCGTCATCAAGTTGAGAGTCTTGAAAATGCATCAAGCCATTGTCACGTCTGCACGCTCTACCTCTCGTACTTTGTTCTTTCCTCTTATCAGACGTTACCTGTCATTGTTCTCTACTCTGAGACCTTCAGCATTTTGTTTCACTTGCTTTTGCATCTTCTTTTTCTTGCCCAACTCTCAGCTATTATTGTTGTGCATTTAAGGAAGATAACATCTTCCATTTGCAGGCTATGATGCTTCCTAAACCTCCATTACACATAAGAAATATAGCAAAAGCAAACCTTTACTGTCATTCAGTCATCTGGAACTTTTAGTACACACTTCAATTTTCCCCCACCTTGGTTATTGTAACTCACTTTTCATGTGCATCTTTCTGTCCTCCAGTTAGTGCAGGACACAGCACAAAGCCGCTAACAAAAACTAGCCAGCGTTCACATATCACACCTATTCTTGCATCCCTGATATAGTATTAACAGACCTATAAAGCTCTACATGGAAAACACATTTTTATAGATTAGCTTACCCTTAATCTTTTCC